ATTTTATATAAATGTAATATGTAATATTTGTATGTAAGTAGATTTTTATTCTAAATACCAAATATCATTACCCAATCATTTGTAGTGAAATGTCCATTAAATCTCCATTAGAAACCCAAAGAGGATAAAAATCTGTATTGAAAATCTAAAGAAAACGAGAAAACTTAAAGCCAGAATGGTTACACAATGAGAAGTTTTTCATGATTTTCATATTAGTCCAATCTGAACACTGTATTTTATTTTATTTCTCTTGTATAGTTAATTTCCTATTTTAACGCTAAAACCAAAAATTCGATTTTTCCACTTAAGTTCTTAAATATACAAGATATTAATTTTCCAAGAGTAATGATAGAGAGGATGAAAATTTGAGATAAAAATTTAGGATCATATAATTAAATTAATTAATACATACAATATCACATGTTTTAAAAAAAATAAAAAGAGTTAATTATTAAATAATATAAGATTTATTTTTAAATATTTTAAATGACATACCTTATGTTGCATCATTGACCTCAAATTTTGATATTAAATTTTGATCCCATTCATTATTATTCATTTTCAAATAAGGCTTAACAAAAATCAAGTTATGACAGAATCCTTCCTAGATCTCAAATTCCTTCTTTACGACCACAAAATTAGAGAAACCATAGTTTTAAGTCATCAAGACGATGACTTTGAAGCAACTAGTTCTGGGAAAAAATTTCAACAGCGAGACGTCACATAAAAGGAATACCAACAATGAGAATTAATATAATAAAGACTTTTACAAGGAGAAAGAAGACCTGCGTTTGAGAGGTAGCGCCCGTTTGTCATTATACTTTGTTTTCGGTAATTTGATTGTGAAGAGTAGATTGTCTTCACCTTTTTATAAATCCATTCCCACATGATTTAAGATGTGAATTTGTCAAGTTTTTAAACAATTAAGTTACTTTTTATAGATAAGTTTGTCATTGCACTTGAAGGAGTAATTGATTTGGTCTTGAAATCAATTTCTCTTTCGTGGTTCCCTTGTTGCTTGCCTTGCCAATACGATCATTTGCAAATGTGTTGATTTGGTCTTGTTAGGTGGATAAGTTAAATTTGGTGACAAGTAACATCAAAACTTGGTTTAAATTGAAGATGAAGGAAGTTAAGAGATAAGTCAAAATTCTTGGAAAGAGAGAGAGAAAGAGAGAGAGAGAGAGAAGTCAAAAATTAGGCATTACTAGGAATGTTAAGGAGAGGAGTAGCTCATGATCTATTCAATTTGAGTTTATTGATTCATTTGCTAACGTACCGTTTAGTATAGTTATTAGTTTTTTATTTTTAGTTTTAGTTTTAATTTAAAATTAAAATTAAAAAATAAATAATAAATAATTTGTTTAAGACTTGATAATAAAAAATATATATTTATTTAATATAATAAAATTTATTTTTTTAATAATCACAATAATATATTACAAGGATACATGAAAATATATGAATATTTTTATTTAAAGTAACAAATTTATGAAAACTAAAATTAAAAATAAAAAATCACAACTATACTACGAAGTCTAATTAAGTTAACTTCTACATAATTTTGATCTTAAAAAGTTTGTTACACTAGACCTTAGTAATTTTGAAAAATAATAAAGAGTTAAGATTTATTTACATAAATTTTACATATATATCACTTACATAAAATTTTAGTTATTATCTTTTTACTATAAATAGTTATAATTTTATGACACCTTTAGTAATGGATCCTAACTCTAATAGTCAATATCATTTCAGTCTAAAAACTTAAGCTCCAATGGATACTCCTCCAAGGTTGAATACTATTCCAGGTCTCAAAGACTCAAAGCCTCCAAATCACGTATTGACTAAATTGTTTTTTACCTTAACTGCTTAGAGCAGTCTTGTTTTTTTATAAATGACAAATTAACTACAATGATGCATTGTTTTTTCCTTCATTGGTTGCTAGTCTGTGCATTAAATCAATGTGGTCAAAGAATGACTATTACTCTCTTCCTCCGCTTGACGAAGCTTAGGCCTGCGCGCTCTATTAATGGCTTTCTTAAAGGCAAGTTACAAAATTTACAAATATTTTATACAGTTTTGTGATTAATTAAAGAGGAGAGATCCACTTATGTATAAATATTATATATTATATTTATTTAAAATTTTAATTAATTACTTTTTACTTTTAATAATTAAAATTTGTCATGATTTTTAAAATAAAAAAGATAAATATATTTAATAAATATGAATCAATCTCAACAATTAAAAATAAAAAAATAAAAAATTAAAATTTTATGTAAGATTTAATGTAAATGGCTCCTTACTCTTAAATAAATATTACAAAATTTCCACTCAAGCAACATTTGAACGAAAAGCTCAGCAAATGAATCAAACTGAGACTCTAATTAATAAAATAGGCACACAAATTTTTTTATGGGCTTAATTAGTGAAAACTCCAATTACACCAATAATTTGTTACATCAAAATAAAATATAGAACACACAAACATTGTTCTTTCTCACTATTTGTTCTATGAACTATAATTAAATCAAGCATATTAAAAATCATCATTGACCAACCACTTCCAAACAGATCTTAACCGTGTATTATATAATATGATTGGCTCCAATTATTTGCAATATAGTTTTGACTTTCCAAGCATCAAGAATTTGAGCCTCCAAACCTTAATTAACTGCCATTAACCTTCTTACAATCTGTCCTGATTTCTCCACTGCTCCCTGTTAATGGACTGATATTCCCCATATTAATCATTGACTGAACAAAGCTTTGGAAGAAAGCAGTCTGGTTACTGCTGAAGGTGTTGACAATGGAGATGGTGGCAGCACCACTCGTGGAGAACAGCTCTTGATCTGATTGTAGCAGGCCTTGGTTGTTCTGAAGGTTGCTGAAGTAATTGTTGTCGAATCCGTCAGGAGTTGTAGGATCAAGATTTGCAACATTGAATCCACTCCCATTTTGTGGACATATTTGTTGAAGGGTAGTCAGGTATGTTGAATTTAGTGTTGGGTCAGGGTTGCCTGTGCCACTGAAGTTGTAAAGTCTGCTGCTGAATAATCGACACTGTGCCCTTCCAAAGGTATGTGCACCTGCAATTGAGAGTTTAATGATTTGTTAGACTTTGTTTCATGGAATTGAATAATTTTTACTTCAGAAAGTCTATATGGTTGATATCAATACCAGATAATGCCACGAGATCATTAGTATTTAGTCCAACTGCAGTAAACTTGGCAGTGATATTGCTCAAGCTTTCAAAAGGTGAAGGAATGGAGGTATTAGCTCCTGCCTGGTTCGCGGTCAAACTGTCCCTTCTCCCTAGTAGCACACTCCATGAAGGTCCTCCAGCCTTCAAAAAATGCATAATTATGATCAGCTTCGCTAGAGGTATGTTTTACATATGCTTTATATTTTGCTAAAATCAAAAGGGATTAAGGTTTTTAATCTGGCTTACCAAGGAAACAGCAGCTTCGGCAGCAAGGGCGAGAATGTCAGCACAGGAAACAACACCAGGACAAGAGTTTTCAAGAGCAGTTTTCATGTTGTCAACAACATTAAAACCTCGTGTGGAATTTGTGTTAGGAGCAGCATTTTTCTCGCTCTGTATGTTCGCACTGTTGTCTAGCAAAAGCGAAGCGTCACATCCCTGCGTGTGAAAGAGAAATTAAGAATCAAACGAAAAAGGCAAGAAATCATTAGAAAACTGATTCAGATGAGTGCTTGGGAGGTTGAATTTACATTGACAAAGCAATCATGGAAATGGAGGCGAATGAGGCTGGCACCAATTCGGGGGTCGGATTGGAGAGCCTGCTGGAGAACAGTGCGGACGATGCTGGACACGTTGGGGCAAGTGGTGGCATAAAATGTAGAGTTGAGTTGAGCTTGCGATTGACATAACACAAGTGCTGTGAAAATGGTGGACAAAGCAAAGGAAGCAGTAGCAATGTAAGATGCCATTGTTTCTTCTTTGCTTTGTTACCCAAAGAAAGATATGTGTGGTGTGACGTTGTAATCCAGCATTTATATAGAAAAAATTTACGCGGTTTTGCATTAATTATTGGTTAGTAAAAGCTTAGTGAATAAGCAAATTCTTGGAAGAAAAGTCGATTCGGTCGTGGAATCAATTTCCTTGTTATGGGTCCCTCTTGCTTGCTTTGCCGATTTGATTATTTGAAACTGTGTTGCTTCTTCTCCTTGTATGGATAAGGGACATGTTGATTTGCTTCCAAGCAAAATACATTAAAAACCCCAAGAATAGATCCATGGTTAAGAAGTGTCATTTTATAAAACAAAGTTTATGGTTTAAGTTTTGGATTTACATAATATTTAAGAAAATTAAACGACTAAGAAATATCATTTTATAAGTTAAATTTATAGTTCAAATTTTAGATTTAGTTAACATTTAAGAAGATTAATATTCTTAAATGTATCAACTCTACTTGGAGGTTACATTTTTAAGATTATTTAAGGAGAAATTAATTTTAAAATTTTATAAAAACTGACCTAAAAATATCCTAATAATAAATACTAAAAAAAAAGCAACATGCATTAAAACGTTATTTCAATGTGAAAGAGAGATGCAAGTCGAAAAAGTCAATAGAAAATAGGTAGAATACATGTTAATAGTGTGATAAAGATGCTCATTAGCTATTTATAGTAGTAATTAATGATGTTAGACGTTCTTTTATATGGTGATATAGATACTAGAAAATGATGTACAATACTACGTAAGTGTGACTTCCATCTACGCGTAGAGTCAGGCATACACTTAGATCTGTATCAAAAGCTAGCTGTTAATCCCTTATAAAAAACGATTTATAATAAGAACTGATGTTGCTATTGGAGTTGCTTTCTCACAGTATTTTTTCACACAGCAAGTCATAAAAATGTCAATGCATTATGATTAAATTAATTTTAATTGATATTTTATATAATTTAGTTATCATATTAATGTAAAATTCTTTTCAAAATAATTATTAAATGATAATATAATTTTTTTATAATAAAATACTAAAAAAATCATAATTACAACTACAATACTTTGTAATAGTCTCAAACACAACTTAAGTCAATTAAACTCATGATTGATTGATTAATTGAGGACAATATTACCATTATAATGTAATGTAAGATTATGAGTATACAATTATTTATTATTAAATAAGCACGATATATCATTAATTAAGTAAATATATAAAATATCATAGATAGATTTTTAAATGAAAACAACTAATTGTATATTGATACATTATGTTCGAAATTTATAATATTCAGTGACGATTTCGTCTGTTTGAGCGGCAGTCCCGGAATTCTATAACCATAAAAATTAAGCTTTAGTACACTGATTCAAGCTTGTGTATAGTGATAGATATCCATCTGCTTCCACAATCCAAACATACAAGATACTCCATTTACTACTGTCATGCACATAGTGGAGTGCCACTAATCACGGCATATTCAGTGATTTCACAGAAAAGATGGTAATGAAATTCGTAAGAACTTGACTTCATCATGCACACAACTCTTGGAACATTCTACTTCTCAGCTGTCATTTGTCAGGATACTGAAATTCTTCAAACTAATTAATTAAGAACAGTACTGCTTTAAGGAGCGGAGACCCTGATAATGGCATTGCTTTTGAATACTTCCACCGCAATCCGAGGGAGCTTCTAGTTCTGCTTTTCAGATTTAGTATGATGAAGTTCAACAATGAACAAATGCCGCTGCACTATTTTGACTCTTTCATCATTCACATATAATCGGAATGATTGTGCTGTGTCGGCTGCTATAGGAATCATTTTTATTGCTTCCACCGTGTTTTATTATAGAACGCGACCACTCAATCCACGTTGTTTTCGATGATTTTTCCTCGCAACATCCATTGACTTACAGCTTGTTTAGTTTGAATAGACAGGAAGGAAAATTATTAAAACTAATTAAATTATTTTGTAGGCTCAACAACTTAATTAAATTGATCAAAATAAGGCTGACTCTAATTTCCCTGCCCTTCTCTCTGTTTTCCTTAGACCAAATACAGGCTAGTGAAAGAGCAAAAACGTTGATTAGTCGTGTGTCATGCACATGTTTGGTGAGAGTGGTAGGTTCTTTACTACTTACAACAAACCCTGAATGGGATTTCCCAATCAATTGCTTGTAATATGCAGATGGAACATTCAATATTGTCTTAATGTGCTAGATTATAATTTAATCGCGAAATATGGAACTTTCAACAACGAAAGTGAACTCTAATTTGTATTCTGCTGGTATTGAAGTTTTACGGCCTTTACCTTACTACAAGGCCAAGGCACTGTTCTCCAGATAATAATAATTGAAAATTTGAAACCATTTGCTAGATGGTTTAGCTTAAAGTTATAGACTCAAAAGGCTAATTAATGTTTTTGGTTTCATTCATTTTATCAATTTATACCTTTTTGTTTTTTTTTTTTTTAATAATAGTTATCATTTGTTTATAAGAGTTAAACTTAGGGATATCAATGGAGTCTTGTGGAATTAGGAAGTACCTCTTTGTCCTTATCCATACGAATGACAGGGATGAGAATTCCTATGGAAATTTTTTAATTGGAAGTAGATTTTGCTTCCCATCTCCATTCCCCAACAATTAATATCAAAATATAAATTTCTTTATATATAATTAATTAATATTTAATTATAATGAATAAAATTCTAAAAATTCAAGTACAATTAACTAAATTTCTTTAAATATAAAATTAAATATAAACTATCCAAATATAAACAAAGATTAATCCAATATAAATAGGTAAAAGGTTAATGATGGGTTGAGTGAAATTGAGTTAAGTTTAATTTTTATTAAATTGAGGTTTGGATTTGAAAGTTGAATTAAATTTAAAATAAAATTAATTTATATATTTTTCAAAATTTTCACACGAATAGGGATCTTGTGAGATCTCTGAAGTGGAAAAAATTCCTTGCAAAATTTCATTGAGAAAAATGCGAACCTTTCCCCACTTGATAAGAAGGAATATTTTTCCCTGTCCTATTCTCGTGGCAGGGATCTCTATGAAACCCCCAGGATTAAAACAAATTGCCACCCCTAATTAAACCAGAAAGAGTTTCAATTTTTCTTCCATTAAGTTTATCGTATTCTATTATCCCTAAGGTAGTGGTTCATGTGTTGTATTATATTTTAACACAAATCTTGGCCTCATGATGATGGTAATTGGAATTTGGAGGTGCAAATTTTGCGCGTGAATGTGGTCCCTAAATGTCATTACCTTCCTTTTGCATTATGGTCCAATTCCATTGCTCAAAGATTGATACGTTTAAGTAAAGAAGCCAGAAACTGCATTAATAAAGAAGAAACAAAGACAGCCTGAAAACAGGTCAAAGCTTTGTATCCGAACAACTTTGTTAATGCATTAATCACCTAACTATGCTTTGCACGTAAGCAACCAAAATTTTATAATTTACAAGTCATTTTTCTTTAATCATCAACTTTGTACAAGAATCGATCTTGTTTAATAACTAGGCATGAGGAAGTAAGAATCTAAAATTTCAACGGGTGAAAGGGGAAAAAAAAAATGATGTTAACCAATATCCCATGGTTAATTTACTTCCCATTTTCTATACTCACAGGATTCTGTTGTAAATCCTCTCAAAGACTTTGATTTCCATCTGTTTGAAACAGCCCTGCAAATTTCAACTTGGGTAAGCATGTCTGTCAAAACATGTATTTAGGACTATATAGTCTTCTATCTGCAATTTTCTCTCAGCTGAAAAGAAACAAGATTAGTGACAGAAACTTCTATGGTGTTGAAATTACAAACCTTTGTAGGGTTCTCTCCTTGTTATCCTTGTTATCCAAACCATCAATACCATCTTGCATTAAAGCATCTATCTTAGAATCATTTATGCTTTCAGTTAAAGAATCCACAACATCTTTCAGACCCTGTAAGAAAACAAGTGCCAGTTTCATAAACAGTGATAAACAAGCGAAGAGTTTCCTTGCCTTTAGCTAGAATAGTAGTATATGCTAGTGGTCTAGATAAACATGAACTCAAAGATGTAGTGTGTATATTAGGGTATCAACACAATCATAAAACAGTGAATTCAATAAATCAATAGTAGCAATGAAACCCTGCAGAGGTTCAAACCCCTAACTCTGCCAAAAAAAAGAAAAAAGGAAGTAGCTCATCAGTTTGTAAATTCCTTCTTCAATGTAATTTTACAAAATGTTTACTAAAACTAATGTTCTTGGCCCCTAAAAACAAATATCTTATGCCCTGCCACTGAAGACAAACAGGATCAAATTAACTATTTAAAAAAAAAACGGTACCTTTATGGAAGGAGTCTCAAAATATGGGAGTAAATTACGAGAGTTACTAATAAGTTTAAACTGTTCCTGCAAGAAATGCCAAATTATAAAGTTAGATGTACTATCATAATTACCCACTGATGGAATATGAGTCATCTAGGGTGTATATATCAAAATGCAACCATCTTAATACATTGATGTTGGCAAAGGCAAACAAGGTTAATAGGAAGAACAGTTCAGATAAACTAGATTAGTATTTGGTTTCTCTTTCTGATATACTGATATGCTGGAATAACTTTGAAGCAGATGATGAAAATGGAATCCAAATAAAGCTCATTATGAACTTGAAAATAAAAGGCAAATAAAAAATTTACATTCCAACTAGATTCAATCAGCAGATCATCGGGCATTTGAATATTCTTCCCACCCAACTTTTCAGCCACAAAATTGACACCTTCAATCATAAAATCCTGTCACA